GAATGCTCCTTACCTCAAGAATGATGTCTAAATGCAAAAGATGAATAACTAATCATACCTCAAATGTATATAAAAACGAAAACCTGTCATGTGCAGAGACAAAGTTAGTGAAGAAAAATGCCCCTTGTGTCTTAGACACGGGATTCCTAACCTCACAGGTAGGATGCTAAGGGAAACATGTCTTAGGGTTGGTATCTCTTTAAAGCCAATACATGTTTTCCTAAAGGGCATTAGGCTTTCTCAACCATTTATCCTTTCGGAATCAACGGGAGATATTTCCAAAAGCTAATACACAAAATGATATTACATCATCAAGTGTCGTATTAACCAATGGAAATAACCTAACGGGAATCGATCTTACTCCTCAAAGCGGGAAGAATTGCTCTTCCAAGCCAGATTCATAAGGATTCCAGACTAGAGGTCGGGTTCACCTCCGACACGGACCTAATGCAAAATGAGAGTGAGTGTGTGCAAGGGGCATTACACTCCAATAACCTGCACAGTGGCAACCACAAAAATAGCAACATATATCCCACGACAATCAAATAAAGCATGTAAAGTACTCAACAAATATAGCATCCACAAACACACCTATTTACACAGCAGGAAGGGACTCACCTAGTACTCCCATGCCAAATGCAAAAGGTTAGTAACACAAAGCAACCAACACTTAGCATGCAACAAGATATAAATAATCGTACAAGAGGGAAGAGACTCACTGAGTACTCCATAGCCAACTGCAAAAGGTGAGTATATCCACACACAAGCAAATAGGCATGTAAGCATGATGCATGATGAATAAGCATATAATATCAATGATGGATGAGCATGTGAGATGATATGATGCATGAACATGTGAGCAAGGTATGATGCACGTTATGATATAGTAAGATAATCACTAAAAGGCAAAAAACAGTTGAAGCAACCTCCAAAATAGTAAAGCGAACAAGCAACGATCAACACACAACAAGCAACGATCAACACACAACAAGCACATGCAACAAACGACAAAGACCAACAAAGACTCAACAAAGACTCAAGAAACAAAGAAAATCAAAAGCTGAAAAATCCCCAAAGTTAAAGTATTAGCTTGACCCTTGTGAACCCAAAATATGGAAACCAGAGATTCTGGGTTCAATTGCCCAGTGGAGTCGCCAATCTGTTGACGACCACTTAAAATGGGATTAAGTGTGAAAATATTAAAGAAAAGGGAGTCGCCACTCGTCCAAATTATAAGGTGGGACAAGTCACCTAAAAATAGGTATGCACAGAAATCGGGGTTCGAGAGTGCGGTTAGGAGTAAGGAAGGTATACGCGAACCTCACAATCCTCCGTTTAAACACAGTTACATACTTTAATATTGGGGGTTTTAATTCAACTTATTCATTACCTATTTACTTAAGTCTTAAAAAGTAAGTTTGAAAAACAAATGGACCAAATTGTCACATCTTTTAAACTCTTGGACAAAAATAGATAAAATCAAGAACATGCATGCACAATAAGCACAAAATAAAAAGTAAAGGGATTAATTTGATTAAATTCGAAACATGAAGCACTGATTTGATTAAGATTCAAAACATGAAGAATTGATTTGAAAAGAGTTGAAACCCATGGACTGCATTGCTTAATTATAAAAGTTTTGGGTAAAATTTAAAATAAACGAAGATAATTTTAACTATGACCAACATTAAAGTTTATTGAAAATTGAAATTAATTAATTGAGATAATTAGTCTAATTAAATAATTAACTTAACATTAATTAAAATTAATTAATCACATTTACT